GCACCGGCGATGTCGCCTTTGAGGCCCAGCGTGGGGCCCTCCCCGGCGGCTCTTACCTTTTGTGATTTTTCTTCTATTTCCATTGATGAGATACTGAATTCACTTTGATTTATGTCAATATGAGGTTTGGTAATCCGCATTTCTCCTTCTACCTCTTCCAGTTTTTTTTCCATTGAGCACGTATTTATAGTTTTATTTTGCAGACTTAGCAGCTGGACTTCTGGTATTTGGCTTATATCTTTCTTTATTCTTCCTTTGGAGACCTCTATTTCAATTTCAGCACTTGGATTCGTCATTTCTTCTGCTGGTACACTTATCTCTGGCTTTGTACCTGCTTCTTGGCATGGCACTTTTCCTTCCCTGGCACTTACCTGACTGTCATTTTGCCCTGTCTCATCTTTTGTGGTTGCCCAGGTAAATGTAGGTAATTTAATTTTTGGCAGTCTGAATTTGCTTTCTTTTCCCTCTGTATCCTTTTCTTTTGTTTTCAAGCAAATATCCATCTTCAAGGTTTTATCACTTGCAGGCATACTATCTTCTTCTGTTTGTGCCTTTTTTACAGTATCTATTGATTCAACTGTTCTTTCCTCTCTTGTTATTTTCATGTCAGCTTTGGCTGTTTTGGCCATTTTGAATGAGGGCATTTGTATTTTCCAAGTGGGTAGTTCTGATTCTCCTTCAGGTGTATGAGATTTCACATCCAAATTCCTGCTGTCCTCTAAACTTGCCTCAGCTGTTGTTTCTAGTACTGAATGTGGAACATCCCTTCCCGCTTTGGTGTTTTCAGCCTCTGGCTCTTTTCTTTTGGGCATTGAAATCCCAAATTTTGTTTTCTGAATTGTTAGGATTTGTGTGTCTTCTTCTGCTTGTTTTTCTCCTGTTTCCAGTGTGTCAGGTGTTGTGTGTAATTCTGCTTCAGTGGTACCTATTTCTAGACCTTTTACTTGTATAGATCCTTGTGCTGTCTGACCTGCTGTGTCTATGTTAATTTCACTTTCTTCTTCTGTTTTATCTGCTGTTCTTTTCTGTTTCTTTTTTCGGGATTTTGATGAGATTTGCGGTGTTTGTTTAGTTGGGCTTTCTTTCAGATCAGGTGTTTCTAAACTGGGCTTTGTTGTTATAGCTGGTACTTCAGGTACAGTGAATTTTGATTTTGATTCTTTCACTTTTTCTTTGTTAATGCTTATTTCAACTTCAGGGCATTTTTTTGCATGAACTGCAATGCCGTTTTTCATATCTTTTAAGTCTTTTGTTAAAGGTTCATGCACTTCCCCTGTTTTAATTTCATAAGCAGTAGATGTGGTGTATTCAACAGTTAGTATTTCAGGATTTTCCAGGCTGATATCTTCTTTATGTATTCTTTCTCTTTCAGATAACAGTGTTGCTTTTATTTCTTTTTTTTGCTTTTCTTGTGTTTCTGGTTTGGATCTGTGCATTTTGAATCCAATGCTAGGGAACTTCAGTTTCTTTTGGCTTCCTTTTTTTTCTTTGATATGGACTTCTTGTTGAAATTGAGACTCTGTGTCTGTGCTTGTAGGGGAAATATCCTGTATAGCAGGCTCATATGCATCTGATGTACTATGAGATCTTCTGTGCCCCAGTATCTTTTTATTTTTAATTGACTGAAATTTTGGCCATGATAATCTATCTTTTTTAGGTCTCTTGCTTCTTCCCACCCTTTGGCTTACAATTAATGTTTCCCTGTCGTCTTCTGAAATGGCTTTTCCTGAAACATGCAATGTTTCTTCAGGAATGCTCTCGCTGAGTTCTTTTTCCTGAAAGAACAAATGGTAGTCAGAATATTAAAATTAAACTCAATATAGATGCAACACAAAATAAAACAAAACACATACTATAAAATATGTAGAAAAATGTGCTTTTTATTGACAGTATCTACTTGTTATATAAAAAAATCCTGAAAATGGTGTCTATAAATCAGGCAGAAATTACATGAAACAAATGGATTATATGACTGTAATACGTGGATTTCTGAAGGTTTATGTTCTTTGCAAAATATTGCAGTAAATAGAGGTTTCCATATGTATCTCTCTATATATGTCTGTATAAATATATATACAATATTTGTATACATGTGCATCAAAAGAATAATAATTTTTAATGTGATGGAGACCTATGAGCAGATCATGTCTATGGGGATATCAATAATTAAACATATGTTTTTAAGAGAAGTTTTCATTTATGAGCTTTTAAGACAAATTACTTATATTTTACATTTTGGAAAATATTGACTATAACTATTACCGAGCTTATCTGAGCCTGTTCTATCAGTGGACACTTAACAACAAAAAAAGTGCAGACTCACTAGAGAAGAATGTTTTTCTACCTTAACTCAAGATTGAGGCTTTATCCAAAATCTATAGTCTTGCCCAGGATATTTATAAAGCTGCAAATATTTTTTTTTATTTTTTTCTTGTCATGAATATTCATCCTAGTAAGTTTAAACACACGCCTAAATCTTAAGACACAAGTATGTATTTTCTGGCCTATTTCCACACAGCACATTACTACAGTGTTATCCAAACTTTGTAAACTACTCAAATAACTACCTGGCTTAATCTTTCCTTTTTATACTGGGCTGTAGAGTGAATGTGTTCTAGCTCTTCTTTCCCTGTAATTTTTCTTTTGAGGCTGAATTGGACTCTGTATGGCTCGGAATATTGGAGAATCTTGAGTGCGTCTTCATATTTGATATTATCAAAAAATATTGTAGCACTTAGAAGCTGATCACCTGCAAGTGGAACAAGACATCATTTTAATTAGTTTGTGTTTTCTTGCAGTTTTTCAAATTCTGTTGAATTAATGTTCATTAAAAAAAATTATCACATCCCATTTGTTTGAAACATAAAATGATGTTCACATAATAGAATGACAGAATAACAAAGGCTGGAAAGGACCTCTGGAGATCATCTAGTCCAACTGCCCTGCTCAGGGAAGGGTCAGCTAGAGCCAGTTGCTCAGGTCTATGTGCAGTTAGGTTTTGAATATTTCCAAGGATGGTGACTCCACAACCTCTCTGGAAAACCTGTTCCAGCATCTGACCACCCTGACAGTAACAAAGTTTTTCCGTATATTTTTCAGTATTTAGACTCTGGGCTTTTGTTCTTGTTTAAATTGTTATTTATTGTAGTTTTGTGGCATACTATTTTGTGAAAGAATCAAAGGCAGGTTCTTTATGAATGTTATGAGTTGGTGGTTTGTTTTTTTTTTCATTTTAGTTACAATATTTTCTGTGTATTTTTTCACCATTCTAGTGAAAATTAGATAATCTTTTTTATAGTATACAAAAAAAATCACATGTCATTATTGTTTAAGAAACTGATCTTTTAAATTATTAGTATGGAAAGGTTAAGCTCACACATAATATTATTTGGTTTAGGATCTACTATTTTTACTACCTAAAGAGATGACAGATCAGGCAGGTATCTACATGCACACACAGCTACATAACTGATTATTTTAAGATATATTAAAAAAACCCCACAAAATACCAACAGAAAATCAGACTGTACCTTCTCTCAGGCTAAATATTTTTGAAGCAGGAGATTCCTTAAGTACTTTTTTAATAAATATTCCTTCATTTCCTCCACCTGTCACACTAAAACCACTAGCACCAGCTTCCACTTCTGTTTTCAGGGTCACTTCCATTGTCTCCTAGATATAGAAAAAGGTATGAATTTATAATTTTTATTCATTGGTATCAAAGTCTTCTACATTATTCTACAATAAAAAAATGAGTCTCCACAGGTATATTTTCAGTAGCCCAAGAAAGATTATCTAAAATAGAGAATGCATTTGTTTGGCATGGGTTTGATTCTGTTCTAAAAAAGAATTAAGCTCATGTGTTAGGATTGTGTTGGATCAGGTCCATAGAGAAAACGTTGTAATTTTAAAACATGAAACATATGGAATTTTTTAGGGCTGAAAGATGATTGTATTTTCTATGAAGACGTTAAGCACCTGAATTAGAGTCAATGGGCCAGAAAAGTCAGACTAAGAGATAATGCTGTACTATACTCAAATGGGAGAAAGCTAAATAATGCTAAAAAGAATTATGGAAGGACCCCAAATAGGACAAGTAAGTGTTCATGCCTGTGCCACAAGTAGGCAATTTGTGATTGGTCAAAACAAGACTGAAGTGACTCTTTGCCTATTTGTCCTTTCTTCTGTCCACCCATCCATGTCTGTGTGTTGTAATGGACTTTACTATTTTGTAAGCCACATGCCTGAAACTACAGAGTGCTTTTAGACTGACCTGTGGATGACTCTGTTTTGATTTGTCTGTAGAATATTTTTTCTTTTCTTCTTGAAGCTGAAAAATAATTTGCAATTATTTAGTGTTCAGAAGTCATGCTGTTGTAAAGTACAATAGAAGTCCCACATCAGTTAAAATACCTGGTTTAGACTAAGAACTGAGGCTGACTTTAATGGCAGCAGAGCAAAATCGGAATCTACAAGTGCAATGTACAATGTGAATGATTTAACTTTATTATTCCCTGTAGCAAATTAGAAGCCAAGGCCTCCCTGCATTGTACCAAATTTTGCATGAAATGAACACCAGAGACCAATTGCATCAAGACATCAGGAGCTTTTCTGTATGTTACTCATGTAGCACATTTCTCATGCTTTCATCTTTGTGAACATACTTTTTTTCATTTATTCAACTTCAGTTGAATTTCAAACTGTTGCCTACTTATCTCAGCGTGACTGTACTAATTAAATCTTTGCCTTTGAATAACAAAGAGGCACAGGTAATTTTGAAATATGTATTAGGTAGATTCAAGCCAGTTAAATATTCTAATAGGAAAAGCACTGTGAATTCTTGACATGCTCTGCCCCAGGTCCTTTAAGGAATGAAGTCAAATGCATTTTTTGCCAAGAAAAAGGAGTATGGCCCACAACAAATCCAGTACAATACAAAACCATCAATGAACATGGCCCTGATTTTGGTGGGAACAGCAAGACAATACGGTTGCAACAACATCCTTGTTACATGACGTATGTCTTGGCTAGTTGTAGGAGCTAAAGCTTCTTGAATGAACTTGGTAAAGCCATGCCTGCATGAAAACTCAATGTCTTGCCTTTGAATATTCTTCTTCTATGGAATATTCATAAACCGGAGATGATCCTTGTGGCCTTGGACGGATGTCTTCTACTGCCACTTCATTAACCTGTGAAAAAGAAATGAGTGGTGGGAAAGGAACATCCGTCATGAAACAGTGACCCATTTTTTTAGGTGAGTTTTTCTACTTAGGCATAGCCTCCTTCTGTGTACAAGTCTCTCATTAGTAATGGTGGATGTAGAATAACCAATAATTCTTTCCTTAGGTCAAGAACAAATACAATTCTCATTTAAGGATGTTACTCAAGAACACAAGGGACAGACTCCTGAGAGACAAAAACAATGGTATGCTGATTTTTGTTTTCTTTATAAATTGTATGCATCTATGGGCTGAACAGACTGAAAATACTGACAGATCAATTAATAATAATTTCAAAAGATGACAAGAATTCCTTCCTCTGCTTTATTTGCACACCTAACATTTGTGTCCTGTGGCTTCAAACTTTATTGCTGTCTATAACCAAGCAAACCACAGAAGACCCCCAGCAGGGATTTCTGCTGACAAGCACTTGGCATGCTTCTTCTGGAATCAAATGGTAGGGAACCTAAATCAGCTAATGCTTTAAAGAAAAGACACTGTAGTCAACAGCCATGGAATAGTTTACTAAGTCTTCATATTAAACTTATGCTGGTGAATCATGGCAAAGAGCAGATCACTTTATATTGAAGCATCATTCTGTCTTTTGAGCTGTCAGGATAATCCCAAGCAGAAATATAGCATTTTTGATGAGGGAAAAAAATCACCAGCAAGACCCAGCTATAAACAAAATATTTAAAATCCCGTTTTAACAATGTAACTGCCAAACCCCTATCCCAAAAAACCCAGCTCTAAAAAAACTCACAGAATCTTCGTCCTCTGCATCTGCATCCGCATCAGCATCTCCTGGAGGCTCGGCCGGTCTCAGTTGTCGTCCAGAACCTGCAAGCAGCATAGACGTTGTTGGTGTCTGTGGGAGCCACGCAGAGCACAGAGCAGTCAGCTTGCAAGCTGAAGCCCTCCGGAGCAGCATGCCTGGGGGACATGCACGGGCTGGCTGTAGAAAGGCCTGCTTTCATTTAGATTCCTTATCTCAGCTCTCGTCAGGCTGATCTTTCCAAAGATACCAGAAATATTTGTATCCAGAAATGTAAAGGCTCTTGTGAAGGAAAAAAAGCCCAGATTGGAAAAAATGTAGAACTATAAGTTGGCCAGATTTTTTTTTTTTTTTTTATTACCAAGGGGGGCTTGAGGTGTGTATTGGGCAGAATTGGCAGGGTTTTGGCAGCGGTATGGCTGTGGGGTGGTCTCTGTAGGACAACAGAGACCACCCTGTGCTGGATGCAGACGGTTGCAGCCAGCTCCGCCTGCAATACTGAACCTATTGGAGGAGTTTCTGGCTCGTCTGTGAAAACATGTTTAAGAAAGGGTGGTAAACACTGAGAAAAAGAGACAGTATCACTAGAGGAAGAGGAGAAAGATGGAGAAGACCACACCAGAGCAGGAGAAGGCAGGAGAGATGGCAGAGCAGGCAAAATGCTAGAGCAAAATAGGATTTTGAGGAGGCCAGAGGAAGAAAAGCTGCCTGATCAGGGGCAGAGAGGAGGAGACTCAACTTTGATGAGTCAGTGGTTGGTGGAGGAACCCACCCTGGGGCAGCTAGAGTGGAAAAGGAAAAGCAGCCACCATCTGCTGACCCCCGTCTCCTGCGCCATCCCTCACCTTCCCAAAGAAACGGAGTATAGCCCACAGCAAGTGGATTGGAGACCAGAAAGAGGGGAGGAGAGGTGTACAGAGGGGAGCTGAGGTGTTTTTCCCTAAATGGTTTTATTCTTTTTTAAATATCAGAATCAGTAATTGAAAGTTCATTAACTGGCAATAAATTAAATTGATTGAAATTCCCTTTCTCAAAACTCTTGTCTTTGACAGAGGTCTTAAGACAAGATCCAGAGAGTAAACATCATGAAGCACTGATAGTCATAAAGACTCTGCTTTCTTGCTTTTTAAAAGTATTGAGGGCATCGAGAGATGTGGTGAAGGAGATGGGCTGTTTGAAAGTATGGTTCTGTTGAAATGTCTTAAATTTGGCACCGAAGAATGAAAACAGCATGAGCACATCATTGTTTTCAGTGATCTGGGCTTAGCCACCAGAGGACAGTGTAGCTGAATTACACATTCCCTGATGCACAGGCTATTCTAATACATGCACAAGTCCTTGTCCTCATAACTATGTCTCTTTCTTGCCTCCATGCTCAGTTTTTTTCAAGCCATCAGATTGTCTAGCGCGCTCATACCCAGTTCTGCAACTGCCATTAGTATACACAGTTTTGGCTCTCCTAAAGAGATCCTCCGGTTTAAAAATAAGCTTGAACACTAGAGAAGACAACCGCAAGCAGAACTGTGCAACTCATTCATTGTCTATCTTAAATGAAGAATCCTTGGGCTGGAACACAACATTTCTGGATGTGGATATTACATGCTATGTGTGCAGACAAGCTGGCATGACTTATGCATGTATGTAATCACTCTAACTTACAAGCTTTTGTTGCCAAACTCTTGTTAAAATGGCTGTGATTTTGCTAGCTTTTCTTCATAGTTTTTTTATCTCCTACCTTTATACTTTTCCTTGACTTTTTTGAAGATGAAATTATTTAGTACAGGCAGAGGTTTGAAAGAGTTATCCCACATGATGAGTGGTGGACCACTTCTTTGTTAAGATGAATGATAGGAGTGTGGTTTCAGTGGGAATATCTGATGTCAGTCTGTGGGCCAAGTTTCCAAACTTGATAGAATAGAAGGCATCTTCATTACCCATATGTACATCATCTTAATCAGCTCTCCAGTGGTGCTTTAGCTCCAGCGAACTAGGATCAACTCAGAACACATCAGGTATGCCAGACTATACTTCCTTTAGCCTTCACAAGACTAATCCTGATGCCTATGGTGGACAATAAAAAATGCAGACCCTAGTTCACATTAAAGACCTGCATAAATTGGCTTGAGGTTTTTTTTCAAAAGCTCTAGCATTTGCAATTCTCAGAAGCTCAAGAAAATTGGAAAAAATTTTGTTAAAAAATTTAGATGTGGGTTTATGAACCTGATTTTAGGCGTTACTGCTTGAAAATTCTGGAATCCATTCATGAAGCTCTTCACCACATGTACTTTAATAAGCTTCATATGAGGAGAAGAGCTGCAGGACTGAGGATTGATTGTTTAATTTGCTTAGTGCTTCTAAAGATTCAGGTGCCAACAGAGAATTTTATGGCTGTTACTAAAATTCCAAGAAATAGTAAGGACTTAGTCTTGTGGCATTGCCATATTTTTCTCTTGGGAGAGCCCCACCCACAAGCCCTGCAGTCCAGTAGAATGACTTAACAGAATATTGCTTGGCTTGCTAGACTGTTTGCTCTTCAGTGCAGCACTTCAAGGCTAATTACAGCATTAATCCCTGGTGGCTGCCAATAATTTTGCTACTGGAAAAGAAAAATGAAAGAATTATCTGGAGAATTCTTGGGCTGCTCTGCTGTTGTTTCTCTTGTCTTACTCTGATGTAAGTTACATCTTCAGTGACATCTTAGTTGTCTAGAACTGGAGCAGTGCAAGTATGGGGTGCTCTTCTCAGGACTTGAATGGTCTTGCATAGTTTCTGCAGTGGATTTATCACCATCTAGAGAAGGTGACTATGAGACTAGGGTACTGCAGCTATCCTACAAGTTCTAACAGAGGTAAAACTTTTAAAATGTTTTAACCAAAGGATACTTAGAATGATTAGGTAACAAACATCTTCAAAATCTTCCTGTTGCTAAGAACAGGCTACTCATAAAATCCAAGAGAATTAGATCACTTCCTGCAGTGAGACCTGAACACTTATTTCCCGTTGGGATGCCATTATAAAACAACAAATGACACTGCCAAGTCTTGTTCAGTGTGGATGTAGACCTGGCCTGGATGACATCTCATCTGGGCCTGGACCAGGAGAAAAGTTTCTTATTTTCTACCGTCTGTTGATAAAACAAAGCAGTGGTGTATGAGGCACAAGGGTGGCTTCACATGCTTGGCCAAATATTGGCAGGTTATTGCTCTCCTTGTCCTTGCTATAGGGGTTGTGGATCAAGGTTTGCCAAAATGTTACCAGGAAAAAAATCCCCTTCTGTTAAGATGCAAATGTGTTGCATAAAAGGCCTCTTTCACCCACCTCAGGATGGGCAGGAAGAGAGAGTCCTCCTGTGGAGTGCTACCTCTCCTAAATGGGGATAGTAGGACTCTTTCCTACAAAATGGAGCAACAGATTACTGTCCCCAGGGCTAATACAGATGTGGCTGAGACGATTGCATGGCGGGTTGCCAGCTACACAAATGACCTCCTCACTGAGGTCTTTGCATCCACCCCGATTTCCCCAAACTCTGCCTACTTGTATATTAATTCTCCCCTCTACTATAGCTAACCCATGTAATAAAAGACTTCTTGTGCCCCTGACCTCTACTGTAGACTAAAATTTTGCTTTAGATTTTTCCCCAATTTAGAATACATTAAAAACAAATCTATAAAAGAGGGAAATTACAGTACATCGGTGAATTCCATTTTCAGCAAAGCCTTCTTTCTGCGCATAAAAGACTGTGCCAATAAACTATGTTTTATATGCATGTCATTCTCATGCCCCAAATAGTAGTGATGCCAACATTTTATAGGTTTTAACTTTTTTTATAAACTCTGGACAATCAATGCTTTGTTCAAAATGTTTTCATAAACAAGATGGAATTTACATCAGTGACTACTTCTAGTAGCCACTGAACTGACTTCAGAACAACGGCATTTTTTGAAAGTAGGCAGTAGGAGTTATATAGGCTGGAACATTTTCATATCGTACGACTGAAAATTGCATTTGATTTTTTAAATACTGTTTTAAAAATGATTTTATTTTTCATCTAGCAACCCAGTGGGACTGTTTTGGGTAAAACCACAAAAATGTAAAACCACGTTCTTTTTTTGGTATTCACATTGGATGGGTAACAGTCTCCAAAACCACATTTGAGATATTATAATCAATTTAAATTATGACAGTGTCATTGAATTCAAGTCAATTGTGCTTTAATATACTGTATAAACTGAAGAGAAATCTAGCTTTAATTGGGACACTGGCATATAAATTTACCATAATCTATATACTTTAAAAACAAATAAAACAACAAATGAGAATACCGGAGATGATGTTAAAAAAAGAAACTATAACATCCTTTGCTGATCATCCTAGCTTCTTTGTTTACAAATTGTATCTCTCTCTCTGCAATTCTTAGATTCGGGCTTTCTGCCTTTTAAGATTTTATAGTAAATTTATGTTTGCGTATGAATGTAGTGAATTAAATAACCTGCTCTTATCTTTAAACATATAACTTTTCCTTGCATCAACTTCTTAGGTATTATCTTTCCTGCTAAAAGTGGCTTTGTTTTGTTTTGTTTTGTTTTATTTTATTCTGTTTGTTCTTGGATACAACTAAAATGCTACTGTTGTGTTGTTTTCCCTGAGATTTTAGTGCAGGTCGGTCAAAACTGACAAGAGTAGCAATAGTTGTAATGCATATATTTTTTACAAAGATGAAGGTTAAATATTGCTCATTCTTAGGTAATATCCTCACCAGGAGAAGAGGTTCCTTCTTGCCATGTACTGACTGATGTGAATTACTTTACTTAACTTCAACAATTACTTTCTGTTAACAGAAACCTTATCTGCGGTAAACATCTGTCCACAGGTGAAAACTTGTATGCTTTGCTCACTCATTAATTATTAGTTGTTAACACATTAAGGTCACAACCTGTGCCTTTTCTTTACTAGGATTTTGGTGCTTGCTAGTTACCACTTCTCAGCTATGATAAAAAACAAATGGTCTAGTTTGGTCAGTATTGTGGAAATTAATAGCTTTGAGTCCACTGCCAGTTAGAAGACTTGTGCCTTAACTT